CCGCCGGACTGGACAAAACAAACCAAAGTAAAGCGATATTTCATGGCCATAGGTGGTCAAATAGGATGGATTAAAAGCAGCGAGCTTCCATTGGTTTTTGTGTTCAAAAGATCTCTAACTGCTCTATGGAATAGTATTAACGCGTTATGTAATCTTCGATGTAAAACGCAAGTCAGAGTGATTAAAGCAACCATTTGCTATTTTAGCCAAAGAAACAAGAGGCCCAAGACGACCAAAGAATATGTAAATTTTTAAAAACCTTTGGAAGGAACCGAAAAGTTCGTGGAATCCAAAGGAATTCTTCTTTTTTATTTCTTCTTTTAAGCTTAGTTCATACCACTACGCTTAGATCATATTAGGTGCCTGCCAAATCCGGACTAAACTTAAAAGATCAAACGGAAATTAAACTCAACTTTCCTGTCCCAACGGTTTAAAAAAGATCAAAGCCAGATAAAGTTGTTGAGAAATAAACACCTTCATGACCCTTGCCTGTATTAATTAAAATACCTGCAGTTTTTCTTCAGTTTAAAATTAAGCTTCGATTAAATTGTTCGGCTTCCCGGTGCACATCGATAGAACAAAGAGAAAATCAAATAAAGGATGTTGACTTGACAAATCTTACCTCGCAGACGGTCTTGAATGAGTGTTTTTCTCTGATATTCCGAGTTTAACCTTATGGTCCGTGGATTTCCATACGAACACAAACGATCCTTGCAATATGAGCCGAAACAAGCACCCCGTGATACGAGAGCGTGCTTGCACCATTTCAGAAAACAACAGCGCAAAACGCAACCGTGGACCGTTGTAAACGCGCTGATGAAGCGCGAGTTCCCACTCCACCGTTTTTCATGCCAGTATGGTTCAGAGCGAAACGCGTAAGTTATGTTTTTGCCATTTTTTGTGCAGATATACGAGGAACCGGAGAAGTCAAAACTTGGCGAGACACCTGTAACGGAAAGAAACGGTTAGCGATGTCTACACGCCTTAATCAATACTTTGTTCTTTCGAAGGAATGCGAGCGATACATACCAGCTAACTGCAAAAGCTCTAGTATTACCAACGTTAAGGCTATCTTGGGTCTTATAGCTGAAAAGTGGACTGTATGCATTTCTTCATGGTGATTGCTATTCGATGACCACCATTAAAGTTACTGAAATGAAAAACGGGGTGACACGCTCTGCCGGAGAAAACAAGGCGGAGATGGTATACCAAAGGCTTAATAAGCCGAATCAGTGATGCATCTAGATTTTTGTTGCTATTTTCTCGAAGTTAACAACCGGAAAACTTTCGACCAACCGTTTAGTGTGGAACTCAGTGGTGTGTAGCCGACTTAGATTACGTCATGTTAAACAGGTCCTAAGGGTTTTGGTTTAGTTTCGGATCATGGTCAAATTTAAACATCAGATCACGGCCTCAGAAAGGCTCTCGGCTCACAAGGAAATAGGTAAAATGCCAAATCTATGATCAACATTTGGATTTTTTTTATTATTCTCCTTCAAAAGGGTCGAAAGATCGTTTTAGTCGAACTTGACAAGTAACTTTTCATCTTTCACGGAGGATGTTTGTTTGTCTGTCCACGCCGATTGTCTTGTTTATGACTTTTTACCACCTTTTCAAACGAAAACCAATTATACACCGATAAATTGACGGCATGAAATATTAATCAAGTACAAGTCGATCTGTCAGTGATTTTTACGAGCGAAATGCTTCCACTGAAACATCGTCCCTATGTATGGGAATGACTTATCGATGGCTATCTTTAGCGTGTGCAGTTACTTAAGTTTTCAGGCGAATGAAAAGTGAGAAAAAAAGAGACCAATCTTTTTTCCATCAGATATCTAAACAACCTCAATGTTCTCTGGAGGCATGGCCATTCTGATATGCTTGATTTACGGTACTAAAACTCGATTGATTTTGCCAAAGAAGCGTTTTTGTCTCTGTGTATTCGGTGAATAGATACCATGAATGACTCAATTCTCGGATGGAATGTAAACTCAATTGAACCATTTGGAAGAGAAAATTTCTCAAACAGAAATGTGACATGTTCAAGTACCGTTTTAATAGCTCCGTTACGCCAAAGACAAATGTCATTTGTGAATTGCAAAGAATGGGGATTTTCAGTGTTACCTGCTTTCAGAACCTTTTGCACCAATTGGCGCGTAAAGCCGTATAATTAAGGATTCTACATTAATCGCTTTATGGTTATTTATTTTTACAGGAAACTGACCGGAGTTTAATACAGGTAGGTCACAGCTACAGAAAGTAAGGAAGCTTATTAAAGTAAGCACGACGACGACAGCAAAGAGTAGGAATTATCATAATGAAGTTAAACAGCGAAAATAAGAAGAAGAGAAATAAAACTGTTGTTTTAAAAAATAAATAAGAAAAAAAATTCTTTGACCACACAGTCAGATAAACGCGAATCAGACATTGAGACAACTGCATAAAAATTTGAAAATCTCCATGAAATTGCGAGGAAATCGACATAACGTTAACTTGCCACTGGTCGGTTAACAATAATGATCTGAAATCACTCCTGAAATCGCAGCTCCTATAGCGCGACAAAACAGCTCGTGAAAGCAGGCGTTTTAACACGTGCACACCACAGGAAAGGCAATTTTTGCAAAAGGAAGCGGATGCATTGTGTTGTGAGTCCTTCATGCGGCAAATATCATAAATTTCAACCTGACCCACACCTATTCTTCGTTATAAAACAGACCGAAAAGTCTTATCTCCCGGAAGAAAAGGACTCAGTGTAACCTCAAGTAACATTTCCAAACTAAAAATTATGGCAAGTTCGCGATCATTTTTCCCGCATATTAGAAGACTCATGAAGATGGAATCCGGACGTCCGGTAAGCATGAAGATAGAATTTACCCCGGTAATTGCGAATGAACACTAAAGGTACATGAACAAATGAACAGGGTACTATTTATACATGTAGAAGGATTGGGGGACGTTTTATCAAGATGTATAATTCGTAACCACAACCTGTTTTGTCAAACGGAAGTATCACTTAACGGCCTTTATTATCTCCTCCTTGCAAGAGAAGAGAAAAGACAAGCCGAAGCTCAGTGGGTTAGAACAAAAGAGTGTTTAGGGCCAAAACAAGTGGAACAGTGAGGGAAGATTTCTGATTAAATTGCAAGGAAAAAAAATTAAATACTTAACAGTCTACACTACCAGTTAAAGATTGCCATGTGTCAAGAGTCAACAAGGCGTGCACCACCTCAGGACCAGTCAGCAGGCTCTCGGGGGGAGGGCGGAGGGGAATGGTTGGGGGCGAAGAAGGAGATTTGGAGATTTTTAATATGTGCACATCTCAAATTTGAATTCCACCCACAGGGTCCCCGCTTGCTCCTCTGGTGTTGAGCTATATCAGAGTATGACCAATCATATCTAACTTACAATCCTAGATCGAATGTAAATAAACAACTACTCTCCTTCCATCCCCCATCCCATATGGATACTCCTGGAAAAGGTTGCTGTGGGTAAGCAAGGAGTTGACCATTTGACTTTCAGAAAACGAAAACAAGTACCACCATTCATTGGTTTTAGACAAAACCTTTTCCATTACAAATAAAAAAAACACCTAAGCAACATGTTTATGTTTACACAACTTGAATGCATGAGAATGACCTTTGATTGTCATAAATAAACCACAAAATTAAAAATTCTAAATCTGTATTTTGTTGTCATTAGCCTGTGAGATTACAGAATTCATGCTATTCCACAATCATGAATACAAGTCTTGAGATTGCAAGGGCACCCAACGACTGTGAGAAGCAAGTATTGCCTAGAATTTTCTAGTACTTGAGGACAGCTAAAACTAAACATTTCTAGATGACCGTTCAATTCATGTAAAATTTTTGAAGCCTTTCTAAAAAATTCCCTATGATTTTCACATTAATTTTCACATTTCACTTCCCAAGTTAGGCAAAAGGAAACCCAAAATTATCAGATTCGAAAATGTGATGGAGAGAGGAATCAGAAATGTCTCACTTTTGTAATACGACAAATTGCAACTAAAATTTTCAGGAAAACACTACTCAAACCCTTGTAATCTCGAAAAGACCCAAGTTCCCTTAGGATGACTAAACAGATACAAATTCTATAGCGCCGCTTAAAATGCATTTCTAGAGATCTAAAAGTACTCTGGATAGCCTAAAAAGTGTTTCCAATGTATGTAGGAGGAACCCGTCGTTGAGTGCCCCTGGGATTGGGATCTGGGATTGGAATCTGTATTTGTGGGGCTTTTTAAAATCATTCATGTTGAGCCCCCTTTCCCCCCCTCCCCACTCCGTTGAATGGCATGTATCCCGAAGGCGCGATGACCCATACAATCTCGGGAATTTTTGATACTGTTTTAATACTCCTCTAGAAAACTTAACTTACATTTAACTTAATAGAGAGGTATCGATACCTTCATCCTGCAAAGTCAGAGACACCAGTCTCAAGATCTTGAGAAATTATCATCCCACTACACTCTGTGCATGACCTGACGTGACACCAAGAACGTTATATCGGATTACAAGCCGAAATATACACAGATTATGAGATAGATATTGCATTTGATTGCCACTAAAAATAAATGAAAAAATAAGTAAATAAATAAAAATAAATAAATAACAGATCGGGCGATAAGGGCAAAGTTTTCATTTCTTTATCCAGTCATTGCAGTGAGTACAAATTAAATCCCGAGTGACTCGCACATCGTCAGTCGATTTAATCCTGATCTATCTCTGTCTATCTCACGATCGCAAAAGTATTATTCTACCGAATGTTTACTTTACTGCATCGTTGAGGTTTGCAACTTAACAAAATTTTCTTTGCTATGAGAACCAAATGATAAACAGAAGATTACAACAAACCTTACCTCTGCCTTTTCGAAGACAGCGATCGTCTCATAACACACTGGTAAAAATTGAACAGGCCTTACTCGCGTTACAGATATGTGGCCAGGTTACACTATTTTCGCGGATTTTCGCGCCATTCTCACAGAAAGACTTTCTTTCGACGAGGGTGCGTTAACTTTGCCCATACAAGTGATTAGGTGAGAAAGAACGAAGAGAGCTCCTTACGAGCGCCAACAAACAGAACACGAACAGACCATAAAGCTTCAACATGGCGTTCGTGGAGTTTGAAATCACCGATTTGGTTGAACAGTTCATGGCCGTAACAGGCGCTGAAGATACTGTAGCAATGCTCTTTCTACAGCAGTCAGGTTGGAATGTGCAGGTATTTATTTCACTTATCAAAGTGGATGAACGCTTTTCATTGTTTGTACTTCGAGTGTGGAGTGAGGAGGGGAATTAGCACCAGGCTTCTGCTTCGTTTCAAGCTTTATGAAAGCCACGGTGAAATCATGTGTTATAGACCTCTTTCATAATGGCGGCTTATTAATATATTCTTTCTTATCTCGTTTGAAAGTATAATTGTTTTCTATTTTGCACATGTCAACAAGGTCAGAAAGGCTAATTATTATTCATAAAAAATAATATATTCTTAGGCCGCCTTTATGAAAGAGGTCTATTCACCAGTGGCAGTGTTAAGCCCCATGGTAGGGGGACAGGGCATACCCAGGGGGATTTAACATTTTAGGCCATTTTCATGTCACATTCTTTACCCAGGGGGGAAAAAACTGATGTCAAATACCCTTTCCCTGGGGTACATTTTGTTTGATTTAAGATGGTATAAATTACAGTGCGTTATTTCCCCAGGGGGTTACTTGGGTTAATTTTTACAGGGTATGTGCCGCTGGCCTCTGAGAGCCCCTACCCCTTTATAGTCTATTTTGTGGCCAATTGTAGACCCCATCTTAGTCACGTTTGGGCAAATATGTAATTTTTGTGATCCCAACTTAGTCACTTTCTATTTATGTATCTACTTTATCAATCCTTTAAATAGGTCATCCTAAAGTGAATTGACCCATTTTTAAATAAATTTAATGAAGAACACTTTACTTTTCACCTACAGTACAAATATTCTGATACGTTTGCTAACCAAAAATATGAACAACTTTCTTACACCAAAAATCTGAAAATTCTGTGGAAACCCATTCTAGTAACTCTATTGAAAATGCGACCCCATTATAGTCAATCCAGTCGTGAAAATGCGACCCCATCCAGCAGCACATCCCCATTAGACTCTTATAAGGAAGTGCCGCCCCGCCCCCGGATTATTTCCTTGTCACTCCCACAGTCTTTCTTTTTTGTCTAGTTATGTCCAACACTTTGTACAGAGCCATTTCTCCCAAAATCAAGAACCTTTTAACGCTGTTTAGTCAATGAATAAGTAACGAAGACATGTGGGCATAAGGAACTTCCAGAAACAGCAATCCCAAGGAACTCTGGGTAATGTTTCAGACTAGGTTCCAGGCTCTTGCAAGATCTTGTCAAAGTCCCCCATCCTTGGGATCTTGTGTTACATCAAAATCTTTTATTATTCCCCACCCATAGGAAACGAAATACAGTCAAATGCCCCAGGAATGCCTGGCCCCACTACCCTGGGGCTTAACATTGCCTGGTGCATTAAACTAAGCTGACGTCAGTTCACTCAGTTTCCTAACCCTAATCACCAAACTTCAGAGCCATTCCACATTCGGCGTTCTGCAAAATACCCCTGCTCACTCGACCAATATTTGGGTATAGGTGAGCCACCGTGGGCAGTAGGGGTATTTAGCCTCTAGAAGAGAAGCTACACTAGATTTCACTGCATTTGTGGTAGCCTCCCATGCAGATGTTCTTTATAGGGCTATGAAAGTTCATTGTATACTCTGGGCAGTGTAGAACATTCAGCGCACAAACAGACCACACCATGCTTCAGGTGATCACTTACTGGAGGGTAAAATCAGTTGGGAACTATAAAACCCCAGGCGAAAAAGTGGCTGTGCATGCTTATGCATGAGAGGTGGTCTTTTATGGGTGGTGTTAATTGGTGTTTTGGATAAGTGTTGATTAATAGAAAAATATATGTATTTGATTTGCAAATAGGCAAGGATTTCAACACGTGCCTATTAACCTATATGTCCTCACAGGAAACTGCTTTAGAGGAATGTATTGTGTTGTCTTTTTTTTCAGTCAGCGGTAAATACGTTTCTTGATCAAGCAAGTTGTGGTAGCTGTGAAGGAAACAGGGATAATCCAGTAATGGTAAGTATTTTTGACAGGGGACTTCCTTTGACTGGTTAATCATAATTAAGCAACTTCAGATTTAGGGGCTACATTTATTGCACCTGTTTAGGGGAATTATGCATTTCACTAATTTGTTAGTCTAAATTTCAAAACCTTTTGTTTGACATTTTGAGGAGGACTTTAACAATGTTTCTGCCTTCGGTTCTTCACTTAGATGTTTTAATTTTGAAGTTGTGTCTGGTCAGTTCTTTACTTTTGCAGTTTTAATCCAACTTATTGTCCCATTTGTCTGTACTTTGTCTATCTTATGTCTGTGTTTCAAATCCATGTCACTTGGTTGAATTCTATCTGACAGAGCCTTGTTAATTTTCCAATTTTTCCAAATGCTTCCAAATTAATATCTTTGCTATATTTATGCCATGTTAGGTGTCTGAAGATGATGTATCAACTTTATCCATGGGTTCATCAAACAAGTAAGTTGATATTCTTGTAGGTACTCATATTATTATGAGCTTAGGTGGTGTACTCCAGTTCACTAACTGCAGGCTTTTCATTTTGGTCCTGTGGTCGTCTGTTGCTTGAGTGCTGACAAAACTCAGGTTTTGGTGACTGCTTATTTTTATTTTACAATTCACGCATGGATATAACACCCTTATCATCACTTCCCCCTTAGGTGTACAGATTCAACTAGCATCAGATTCTTGAAGCTCCTCTAGATTCTCTCCTACATCTCTGGTTTCAACATGCTTAAGTGCTAAAAAACAATTCTAAACTTTGCATCCTGGTTTTTAACTTAGCCCTATTTGAATCAAATAGGAAACTGAGTAAATCTCTAACAGGTCCTCATAACCTGAAACATGATATGCAGAATTTGATAGGATTTTCTAAATGTTTCACAATATCCGCCAGCAAATAAAATGGTGACTGTTAATAATATGTCATCAGCCTTAACTTCTAGAAACGGCTTTCATTTTGAATAAAAGATGTGGTCCCAGTGGAGCCTGGGCAGCACATACCCCTCCCAGAGCAAACCCAAGTACACCTCCCATCCCCCTTCCCACAACCCCCCCCCCCCCCCCCCCCCCCCTCCCCCCTTACCCCAACTTTTTAAAAACAAATGCCGGGGTCGGGGGGGGGCTTAGGTTTGGTTTTTGGGGGGGATTCTTTTATTTTGTCCCCACTTTGCCTATGACCACTCTTTCTTTAAAATTTGATTCTGAGCTTTCATATTACGTCATCCCTAACATCAAGACTCTGCATTCACTTTGAATAAACGAGTTGGTACCAGTTGACTCTGGGCAACACAATCCCCACCCATAGCAAACCCAATTTCTCCACCCGACCCACTGCCCCACTCCCCCCCCCCCTCCACATCCCCTTCATCTATTACACAACTGTTTGAAAGACAGATGCCGGGGTCGAGGTGAGTCTAAGTTTTGATTATGTGGGTGAATTCTCATATTGTGACCACTCTTAGCATATGACCACTTTCAATTTAAACTTGAATTCTCAGCTTGCTCAACCTGGGTTTTTAACAGTCATAAATTCACCAAGGGGGTTACATTTTGATTTTCTTCCAGAGAACAAAAAGATGAACAGAGTAACCCAAACTTGACTGTTTTGTCATGGAATGTTGATGGTCTGGATGAAAGAAATATTCTGGAAAGAACAAGAAACGTTTGCCATATCATTAACAACAGAAAACCTGATGCAGTGTTCTTACAAGAGGTGATATCACAGACTTTAGCCATTTACCAATCAAAATGTCCAGGGTAGGTGGATAACCTTACATTCCTTCATGTAATCCCTCACTTTATGCAAAAGTGTATATGTTGTAGTTAAGACGGAATCCATTAGGAAACTGAGTAATTTTAATTTTCAGTGGACAAAAACCTTGTACCAGAATATTTTAAGCCATATCACATTTTTATTTACACTTTTTAAGGGCTATAGATGTAATTAGTTATCTGTATTAACACCAAAGACAATTTCTTACAGGAGCCAAAGAAAATAAATTTCAAATTTCACAGGAATTGACAAAACAAAGGTAAAATGATCTAAAATCGTCATGTGCAAAACTTCATTTTGTGAGAATTTGAGGCTTTTGAAGTTTGTTTTCTTGGGTTCCAATAAGAACCTTTTCTTCAAAGTTATTTCATACAACGTATTACATTTATAGCCCTTGAAAAGTGTGAAAAAGAATGCAATATGCTTGAAATTATTCTGGTACAAGGTTTTTGTTCATTGAAAATTAAAATTACTCAATTTCCAGATGAATTTTGTCTTAATTTCTTTTGTTTCAACTTCATTAGCATACATTACCATACCCCAAAACAAAAGAAAAACAAAAATTACCTGAGATAAAAAATTAACTACAACATATACATGTATATCCTATTCCTTCACTGAACAAACAGTCCTGAAAATATAGAAGAGGTAGATTTGAAAACAACGTGTGAAGAATACTCATGCTCACATGATGCTCTTGAGGCACATTTCTCTAGACTAAAGTCCTGATAACTTTTCAGGTCTGAAAAGCTGTTTTATGTTTGTTGTGTTTGCATTCAAGATCAAAGTTTCAATAAAAAGTTTCAAAGTTATTTCATACAACGTATTACATTTATAGCCCTTGAAAAGTGTGAAAAAGAATGCAATATGCTTGAAATTATTCTGGTACAAGGTTTTTGTTCATTGAAAATTAAAATTACTCAATTTCCAGATGAATTTTGTCTTAATTTCTTTTGTTTCAACTTCATTAGCATACATTACCATACCCCAAAACAAAAGAAAAACAAAAATTACCTGAGATAAAAAATTAACTACAACATATACATGTATATCCTATTCCTTCACTGAACAAACAGTCCTGAAAATATAGAAGAGGTAGATTTGAAAACAACGTGTGAAGAATACTCATGCTCACATGATGCTCTTGAGGCACATTTCTCTAGACTAAAGTCCTGATAACTTTTCAGGTCTGAAAAGCTGTTTTATGTTTGTTGTGTTTGCATTCAAGATCAAAGTTTCAATAATTTTGAAAGTGATACAATGAAACTGTTAGGTAATGGAGCAAAATTGCCTAGTTTGTAAGCTAGGAACTGTGCTACTGTTCAACAGGTTTTGATTTTAAAGTTTTCTTTAGGTGCTGAAAAGTTGCTGGGCCTTTCAAGAAACAGGCCTGTGGGAGTGGTGCCTGGTTTAAATAACAACTTTCTGTTAATCTTTTCATTTTAAGATACTTGTGCAAGTGTGGACCAACACATGGAGCATATTTCAACATAATGCTGCTAAAGAACTCTTCCGTCAAACCAACAAGTAACCATCAGTGCACACACTTCTCGTCAAGTCAAATGGGTCGCCACTTGCTTTGTCAACCCGCAATATTTAGGGATAAAACTGAAATAATTCTAATGACTTCACATCTTGAAAGTACACTGAAATGTAAAAATGAACGCAAAAGACAGCTCGCGGAAGTCTTGGCATGCATAACAGACCAACCAGGGGAAGCTACCGTTGTGTTTGGTGGTGACACAAACCTGCGTGATGCAGAGGTGTCAGCCATTGGAGGACTACCAAGCGGCATAGTAGATGCTTGGGAGCAGTGTGGGAGACCTAAAGAAGCAGAGTTTACATGGGACATGCAGATGAATGACAATCCTGAATGGCCATACCCCAAAAAGCCTAAAATCAGATTTGACAGGATGTTTGTAAGGCCTGGTCAGGGACTGCATGCTTTGAAGACAACTCGATTTGAGCTTGTGGGAATGGAAAGACTGCCTGGGTGCCGTAGGTTTCCCAGTGATCACTGGGGCATATGGTGTGAATTCACACCATTGTTGACAAATTAAAGGCATTCATACACTTGTAGACTGTTCACATTCCCCCATTTTCCCGTACGATCGGCAAGATTTGTGACCACCCCCTTTGGTACATCAGAAACTAAGATGGCTGCCCGTACTGTTAAGTGCTTGATCCTGCCAATCTTAAGAAAAAAATGGGGCACTGTGAAGTTAAAAAGCAAAACAAAACCTACAAACACTAACATGTGTTAAATGGATGCTTAAAAATGTCAGTTTGGAGAAAAAAAAACTTTTTTTCTACACTGTATATTAATTTAATGTTCAACATTAAACAATGTGCGCTACAATAATGAAAAAAATGTGAATAGGTAATGCATATTAGCCACATGAAATCTTGCATAAAAAAACTGTTATCACAGCTGTGATGTTATATACATTCTAAAAAAAACTGAGAACACTAAGAAACTAAAGCCTTATATTTCTCTGGTATGTTTATATTTTGGGAAATTGACATGAAGACTTTGCTTCTTTGTTCTGTTGAAAAACCACTTGTTTTATTGTACCTCTAATTGTTTCATTATACAAGCAGTAAGTTTGGTGTGTAGCGTTTGTTTCTCTTTACATAATTGTTTTACTGACACTTGCTGAGACCCAAAGAAACTTTGATGCACTTATACAGTCACTCTATTGTAATGGGGCAGTTGCACTGTTGCTGATACTCTTGACAACAGAAAAGTAGAGAGGTGGAAACTGGTCATTCAAGTCCAGCTGTGAGCAGACTGTCTGACCAGATGACCTGAAAGTATACATTAAAAAAAAGGTGAAGCTATAAATCCTTTATGAACTGTCACCATTAACTGGTAATTTAGAGAATCTCAGATATACCTGTACTTTGTGCTGATGCTGTAGTAAAGCCAGGTTAACTGATTGTGGTGTTTATTTTGTCTAGTGCTTTTGATCTGTAATTCCTACAAAAAATCATTAATTAAAAGAAATCAATTACAAGTAATTGACATAATAGTTCATGGTAACCAAATCAGAATCCGCCATAACCTGTGTTACTTTTAATACTTAAAAGCATAGTGATAATATATTATCACTACTTATTAATGATAATATATAATGATATTGATAATGATAATAATAGTAATAATAATGATAGTAATAATAATAATATTTAATATTTATATAACACCAGTATCCTTAAAGTTCAAAGACGTGTTACAGGAGCAATAATAGTAAAAATAGTAAAAAGTTATGAAAAAGCTTTAAATCTTGAGACTAAAAATAATTTTAAAAAATGTCTAACAATTTATGAACATGCTTTTTTTCCTAGCTCATTTTTGAAAACATTGCTGCCAAAAGACCCCTACCTTGAGCAGTTAATTTAATATTTAAATAATTTTTGTTCAATAACTATCTCCAGAGTAACCAATAACCATTGCATTTTTTCTCGTGTTTCCTCACTCTTTCTATTTTTTCTTTCCCTTCCTTTTGTGGATGTGATTTTCGGCCCTAGGTACGCTTCCAAGAATCCGCTAGATATTATAAGGTGAAATCAGACTCTGACCACATACCATGTGAAATATCTGCTCACTGATCAAAGGAGGAGGCCCTCTTGTCCTGCGTCCTTTGTTGCTTTCCGTAGCCATCTTTTTATTGACAACAATGGTCACCTAAAATTCCCAACTTCAAAGTTCAGGATCTTTGACACATAACTACATCCTCATCGATTTGACCTATAACCACCCTGCATGGCCCCAAACAATCATAACTTCCTTTCTGATATTAATTGTTGAATGTGAGATGTTGACTGTGGCAGGTCAAAATTAATGGTTATATCAGGGTTATTATTAAGAGCTGGGGGCCGGGGATTTTCCCCGGCTACTAAGAGAGTGGCTCCCGGCTAATAGAAGAAAAAAGAATCAAAAGAAATCCCTAGCCGTTTGATTCCCCGCCTCCTTGTTATATTTGCCCGGCAACTTGAAATCTTAGCGACAACCCTGTTATATACATACAATGTTTACAAGTAGCCATTACGACACCTGAAGGAGGTCTTTCCTACTACAAATAATAAAATTTCCCTTAGAGCACAGTGACCTGACAAATCTTCCTACAGCCTTACTGACCTTACTATTAAATTGAATTTCAATTACCACTGTGATGATCATATCTTCATTTGAATTTTCATTTCCGCAGTTCACATCATCTTTATAAATAAACTATTAATTTTTTTTACTAAACGGGAGTTCTAATGTAAGAGTAGCAGCATCAACCCTCAACAAGAAGAGAGAAACAAACCTTGTCCCCATTTAACCTGTAATGCCCCACAGAAACAGAAGAGTTACTGCCAGCAAGCTTGACCTTCAGTCTTTGAATAGCTATGGTAGGTTCATCAGCACTTGTGTGAAGGACAACCGTACCATCACTAAAAAACCTCATGTAACGATAGTATTCCACCACATGAAATGGCCGATAGTAGCAATCCAGGGACCTTTCTCCTTGTTTCACATATGATGTTTTGCCTATGTAGACTCCTGTAAAATCAAAGCAAACTACAGCTGCCGTAATCCATTCATTTAACACCAAGAATGGGGTAAAACCATCCTATTAGAGAGATCATTACATACCGACAAATAGAACATGTGGACGTTTAAAGTACATCAGTCTCCAGCAGCCATTCCAATGAGCAGCACTGCCACAGTTCACCCCCCACAACCTAAAAATAATTATGATTATAAAGAAAGAGAACACAGTACACACACAGTGACTTACAATGTAGAGAAAACTTGAGAAAACCTTGACCTATTTTGGTATGCCCTCGGTCTGACTCCTTGGTTTGTGAAGTCTTATACAGTTGTTCACATGCCTATAGTTCCCATTTTTCTCTCAGACATTTCAATCTTGACATCTATTGTATTTTTTTAATATATATTTTTCTAAGTGAAACAAAAGTGCAAAGTTAGCAAAGTCCTCAAAAAGAAAACTGAGGCACCAGCGAGTATGGATCAAACGTGGATCTCGACTGAAACTTACTAACTTCTAAAAAAATTATTTTTTTTAATCTAATCATCTTCAAAATGATTTATTATATTAAGTACTCTTGCACTACAAGGGCAATTTAAATGGACTTTAAACTTGCTTTTTTACAGATACATGGACATACATGTAGATGTAGTGCGTAATGGCTACAATCCAGTAAACATAAAATTGGGGCTTCAATTTAGAAAATGTACCTTTTACATGCTAGTTTCCATATCTCAGGATCTCTAGCACAAGCACTGAAGCCTTTACAAACCTGTCACCCAAGGAAATACAGAGAGTAATAAAAAAGTGTTAAGCTGTAGACAGCAAAAAGGGACTTGCGCTTTTATCCACCACACACACAAAAAAAGTTGTTTGAGGTTGGTAAACCCATTACTTTTAACACAAAAATTGCCAATTTGGTTACAACAAGGAATGAAAAAAAGTCATTTTACATAGTAGGCAATTAAACCCTACAAATAATTTTATATGAATTTCATATAATTGAACCACAGAATGAAGAAATAAATTCAAGAAAGATCAATTGCAGTTTAGAAAAAACATTAATATGTATTTGCAAAAAGAAAGCCTGAAAAAAACTAGGCTGAATTTTTTCCTGAAAATTGCAGGCTTTTTCCCCATTAACTGTCGTAATCTTCCCTGCATTTATTTCTTTATTTTTTTGGTTGAAACAAATATTACTTCCAGTTGGCTTGCTAACTCAAAATTATTGGTTGGAATGCTGTACTAGTATTGAGAGGTCAAGTTTGAATCCCAACAAGCCTAAATTTTTTCAGGCTTTCCTTTTGCAACCGCAAAAGTTGTGTCTTCAATTGTGATGATCTTCTGTGCATTTATTTTAACCTTAATAATGACAAAAATGCCAAAAGCCTAGTGAAGCTTCAAAAATTGAGGAGCAGCTTATATACTGGCTTGACTTATACATAAGTAAGTCCTCTACTTATAATTATGGTCCCAACAACAAAAAAAAAATGTCATTACACAATAGGCAGTTAAGGGCCTGTTTACAGCGAGGTGGGGGACCCCAGGTAGGTGAGGTAATTCGCTTTGGTGGGGTAATAAACCCGCCTGTCCATAAATATAATCTCTCATTTTAATTTGATCACATTTACATGATAGGTGGGGCTGACATGCAGCACGTTACCTCACCTATCTGGGGGCCCTGCCTCCATGTAAACAGGCCCCAAGTCTACTGGCACCAGTTGTTCAAAAGGTGGACAATGCTCTCCACTGGACAAATCTCTGTCCACTTCATAACTCCAAATGTTTGGTTTCCTTAACCCTTTCACTGCCGGAGTACTTGATGCAGTTTTGTAAGGTAACTCTAACTTTTGAGTCTGCAGGCGAAATCCTATGATGTGACCATTCAAATGAAACCTCTCTGCCTGTACATACACATGGCGCTATTTATTTTTCAAAATTTCACAAAATGAAATTTGGTCGAAATTTGCTTTTGGCTAAATTTGGCATTGAAAGGGTTAATACACAGTACTTATCTCCTGGTTAGTTATTTAATGTCCAGTTGATAGCACTATCTCATGTTTCTATAACAGGGGCTTCATACAGTTCTGTATAGCCTCATCTGGCTGTAATTTACCCTTGCCAGTTGCTCAAGTGACTTCATATCCAGTTCTGAGGAGACAACCCACTTAAATATATAAACAATGAGTTCAAGAGGAATGGCAGAGATGTGTGTCATCTAGAAGAAAACAATTGAAACATAAGATTAGACATTACTGTAGCCACTGTAGGTACAGTGCATATAGGTACTTTGGTTCAGTCTAACATTTAGTTTAATTCTATTTTACCTTTGTTTAAAACTCATTAACATAGTATAAGTTCCATGCCCGCAAAGGATAGAAAAGGCCATTTTCAAAATGATGATATTTGACTACATTGGGTTATTCCAGAAAAAATCCACACCCCCACGACGGAAGGCATGCTGGAAAATCTCACAAGAGTGGGGGGGAGGGGGGGGAATGGCTCTGGAAACCCAGACGGGAGGGGGGCTCTGTACCTAAAAATACATCCTCGGGGGGTAACTTTCCATTTCATAGATGTTTTGATCGCTTTAATTGATAAGTTTGCAAAAAATTGCGATGCCCTTTCAAATTTTATTATTCTTTCAAACTACGGACCTCTTACTACATTTATTTTAAGTTTCCATCCATAGGCTCACCCTCGTTTATACTTTTGTAGAAGCGATGTGTGATAACTTGAAGATATCAAGAAAAATCGCATAATTCATGAAGAAGCGCTCAGTTCAAGTAAAGCAAACAATGATTTAACCTTGAATTAAGCATTTTTCCAAGGTCAATGCTATTTCAGGGTAATTTACCACTAAAAATGTCCTACAAGTAAGCGTGGTTGTTTGTGATCTGTACAGTACTGCAAATGATCCCCAGCCGCAAATGATCCCGAGACCGCAAATGATCCCCAAAATGGACCGCAAATGATCCTCGACCGCAAGTGATCCCCAAAGTCGACCGCAAATGATCTCGAAAGAAAAATGGGAATGACGTGGACTCAAGTTAGCGGATCATTGGTCGACTTAATATTATTATTACAATGAGTCAGATTAAAAGCTAAATTTTACTTCTCAAATAAATATATGAATAAAAACTAAATGAAAAAAAAATCATTCAAGAGTAAAAACGAAGTCGGTAGGCAACACACGACTTACCTCATGCTAAAATGCTGCTTATTCCAATGACTTTTTTCCAGGTGTGGCGGGTGGATTATACCTCTGAAGAAAACGTTTTGACTGAGCAAATGTGATTTTTGCCGCTTATTTCATACTGAGAGATCATGACACGCATTTTCTGCGGTTTGTGTTGTTTCTGGTCGGCATGATTTGCCCTTTGATGCAAGAGCATTTCCTTTGACCTCTTTTGAAATGCAGTGCTCTTCATTGCCGCTAAATAAGGGTTTTAGGTTGTTTAATTTTCTCCAAAGTGCCTCCTGGATCCGAATGATCATAAGCGATTTTCTTTTAGTCCGTGAATGTGACGGTTTCCTACGATGTTTTGTCACGCAATAACTACCGCTTACCTGGCGTTTCTCATTACCAGGTTTAGATTCCTGGTAACTGTCTTCAGCAAAGCACAACAAATGAATATACATAAAAACGCTAATATAACTATTCACAACACGTTCATGAGATGTAAGAAAGTTGCTATTTCGAAATAAACCGAAACCTGTGGACATTGATAAGTTCGGGGACATTTTCACTTTTGTTTATGTTAAATCATGTCTTGTTTCGTAACGGGCACTTAATTTACGAACAAATGTCTTGCTGTTTATCACGTAAAATTAACACTTCAGAGAAAAATCAAAATGAAATATTCTGGCTGATTAATTTCACGCTTTCAAAAAGATCAGTTAAGTCAGTAAAGCTCTTGTTATGTAGAGGGTGCCCGGCTTTGTATTCCTCAGTAGAAAAGTTGAGCTTCTAGGCGTTAAAATAATAGAGTTTTTTCGGCGTAACGTCCTGCCGGTCTTAAATTTTTCAAAAGACGAAACATTCTTGAAAGAAAATTGAAGCAATCGACAAAGGAAGAAGTATACGGTTAATACCATTCCTTTTCAGATTTATTCCACTTTTTTTTCGCCTTGTATAAATTGACCTGAGATGTAGCGTCCTCCTTCCCTTTTTCTTTAAATTCTTTAAAAGGTGAGAGAAAAAGGTTTCTTTTTTATTATTAGTCCTTTTTTGTAATCAGTCCCATAAAATCCATTCCATTCCTCAAGTTTTCACGGGATCATTTGCGGTTGACTTTAGGGATCACTTGCGGTCAAGGATCATTTGCGGTCCATTTTGGGGATCATTTGCGGTCTCGGGATCATTTGCGGTTGGGGATCATTTCCGGTACTGTACAGATCATTCGGCGGCCATTTTGAAAGGCAATTGTATAGCGCGTCATGTAATATCCCCCTTAGTGTCCTTTTTCTTTCTTTTGCAGTCATTTTTTATTGACAAAGAAGAGAACCATTAAATGGACTTTTATTCGAGAACATAGTGAGTTTTGAGTTCCATACATGTACAGTTACCTTACCCTAGTTTCATATTGTGGCTGACAAATTCCTGTTACAGACAGAGAATTAAACTTCTTGGTCAGGTCTGTTAAATAGCAAGTGCTGCAAAATTGAACAAAAAAAAACAACATGTAAAACATAGATCCTGTAGCTGACGTTAACTCTAAACTTTTTCTTTTTTATTTTGCTGCATAATTCATTTATTCTTATAACATTGTGCACAGGGGTCATACTCTTTTAAGCTCTTCAAATTTCATGACTTTTTCCAAGACCTTGTCAAGTTTTCCAAGACCTTAGGTTTAGTTCACCTACAAAAATTTTCACAACAATTTTCCTTCTTTGGGGGTATTTTTTGACCTTAAACAGTTCAACAGACACAAACCAAAATGTGTGCCTTTTGTGCTGTTTAATTACTCATCTCTGTCTTGCATTGTCCTTGCTTTGTCATCTGCAGTAACTAATTTACCAACAAAACTTTAATTTTCCATGACTTTTAAGGACCGACAATTAAATTCCATGACTTCCCATGCCTGGAAAATGAAATTCTTAAATTCCATGACTTTCCATGTTCTCCATGACCTGTACAAACCCTGTTGGCATAGAAGGTTTTTACATAATGAATTACCAGCCAAAACCTATTAATGTCTGTCTGATCAAACAATATCTGTTGAAGGGGATTTTTTTCAGGAGAGAATTGACTAAATTTTAGTACCTTTTAATTACGCATACACAAAATGCTCCTGTAGAGTTATAATGGAGAATCAAATTTCATCAGGGAGCACTAAGGCCTGGTTTCAGACACTGCTCCACTTATGTGCCGAACCTCACTATTGAATTAAGTATGGTAAAAGAGCGGTGTCTGAATTAGTTCAGCAGAGTCTGTCGAACTTTTGTTGAACTTAACTTAGGCTTGACACAATGTCATGGTGCGAGGTCTTGATCAGATGTCGCACCAGTGTCGCTCCAAAGTCAAACTTATTCAATTAGGTTTGGCACATGAAAAGTATAGAGTGTGAACCAGGCCTAACCAAAATAATTTTTTGGTGATTTGGATTTTTTTGGGTGATTTGGCTCAGCATTAAAACTTGAAAAAGTTGGCCCAATTTTTTTAACCTTGAATCCATGTGCACCCTTGCAAACAACAAAACTGGACCATTTATCTTTGGAATTCAACTGATGCCGAGACATGTTTTAAAAAAGATAGCCAATACTGAAATACACACTACTCAAGAGAATTAAATAAAAGTTACAGTGAGATGGCTTACTCTTGGTTTTCCTTGACCACATTATACGAAAAGTCAGTTTCATTATCACTATCTTCCTCATCTACAAAATCATAAAAAAAAAAAAAAACAAATGTTAAATTTCACATTTAAACTTAAGTATAAAAGGAAAACAAGAAAAGAAAAGAAATTAAATTTAAAATTTAAAATTTAAAAAAAAGAGAACACTTGTACAGTAGTCCCCTTAACTTTTACCTTGCATTAAGTTATTGGTAAAATCTATCATCCTTGATTCTATGTCTGGCACAAGCTGAACAGCTCGCCTGTAAAAATGAAGAGCTGAAAAAAACAAACAAACAAACAAACAAAAAAAAAAAAGGGGGGGCGTTACCATTTGACATACAATTTTGTTACAAAGTACACTATTATTGTAATTATTCCCTTTCTTTGACTTTGTTTCTTTTCATTTTTAAATCATTGTTATTAAGTAAGGTTTGCTGCCACCAGAGTAAGAAGGATAAATGTTTTATGTACACTTTGTTACATTGATACAAAGTCAGATTGCAACCAAAAACGTCCTGCTACAGGCTTCATTAATAGATGTACACATGTAGCATTTAATGGCTGCAAGAAGACTGCTTTTATAACAGCTAAGACAGTGTTGTCCCCAAAAAATTGCAACCATTTTTCAAGGACTTTTCAAGGACCACATTAGATTTTCAAAGACCACCTACTAGGACTATAATTTCACAGATTGTACAAAAAAGCACATTCCCAGTCTATTCTAAGACTTTAAGGCTTTAACTGTTTGATTCACCAACTTTTCTACATTTTTCTGTTCACTTGTCTTAAAGTGACAGTTAATTTTTGCATTAAACATAGAGCGCTTTAGGTAAATAACCTTTAAATTCCTGGAGCTATGATTTATACTCTACCTTGGACAACCAAAAAGCATCAAAACACACTTTCCAGGCCACTACATTTAAAGTTGAAGAAAATTCAAGGACTTTTCAAGGACTTTGCACAGAAATTTACGGACTTTTCAAAGAAAAATGGAATTTAACAACTTTTCTAGGACTTCCCGCAAAATTCAAGGATTTTTTAAAGACTGTGCGAACCCTGTAAAATAATAACAAATTTTGCTGGACAAAATGATATAATTAAGTCATTAACTTATAAAATACAACCTGACCTTCGCTTTTATACTTTAAATGTAACTTAGATACAAAACAAATTACATCATGATTTCTGCATCTTGAAAACTGTTTGTCATTTGTAAGTCATGTTACTGGTATTTCATGTAACCACTTCATTTTTAGTTTGTGAAGAATTTTTCGAACATTTAGGTTTGAACTGTTGTGAAGGTTTGCATAGACCCACATGAAAATCAAATTTTACCTTCATAAACATTTCCACGTCTCTCAGCAGACACCCCCTGTGAAAACAACTGTGTGGCCTATTCAAGACAAACATAAAAATGAATCAATAATTTTGGCCCAAATGTGGCCTAATTTAGCTCGAACAGGATTACAGAAATATGCAGCGTGCAGACAGAGGTCATTATCGCGTTACCGTTCTGCCAAAGTGATGGTGTAATTTGGCCCAATTTTGGCCCAGTTTTTGCATCACTAGAGCATAGTTAGGATTTGGGTTCAGTTTTGGTTTATTTTGTGGCTGATATATTTATGTTTCAGTGAGGCTCATTTTGGTTTACCTTTGGTTGAACTTTTTAAGGCCCTATCTTGGTTCATTTCAGCCTGGAATTGGCTGAAAATTATGGCCCCATTTACCTACTAGCTAGAGCGTTAATTTTGGTACGGGCCCATGTGTGAGATATCAATGGTATAGGTTATGCGTGAGGTGGAGATGATACCAGTTGTTGTTGTTCTTGTAGCTTTGGGAGCAATCCCTGAAGGCCTGAATAAGTCGCTTCAGAATGTTGGCATAAGGTTAAGACCAGGGGACCTGCCAAAGATTGCATTACCACAAACTGCAAGAATATTACGAAGAGTCCTTGAGATTTGAAAGATGGCCAGACCCTTGTGACCCTTGAATACTAGCTGTAAATTTCTCCAAGGGAATTTTTTCGGTTGACCAGCAAAACTGTAGAGTTAAAGTGTACATAATAACAATAATAAAAAATGATGATGATGATGATAATGGTGATGATGATGAGAATGATAATAAACAAAAAAAGGATCTTGCAATCTTGTAAAAATAATCTGGTAAAAAGATGTACATTGGGTCAATGTATCCTCATCAGAAAGAATCAAAGTAAAAAGAATCAAAATAGTACCTTTTCCTCCTTAGTAAGTGGTGTTGTATTAGAAGAGTTCTTAGTTTCCAAAAGCAGTGGACTTGGAGAGCCTTCACGGCTAGATGGAGAGGGCGACTCCACAGAGGGTGAATTTCGTGATGAGCCACTGTCAGTGACAGTTCGTTTAATCTCTTCCTTCCATTCACGTCGGAATGACGCAAGTTCCTCTTCCAGCTTTTTCTCATCCTGTACAATTAGGTAAAAATTTGTGTTATGTTCTGCAGTGATCAAAAATTTAGCCAGGATAGCACCTGGGTGTCCTTTGGACAATCGGTAAAAATTGGTGACTTGTTGAGACGATAATTTTGCATACATGTAAAATGCTTACTGTCACTAGATTCACAAAAACACCAGAAACCACTAGATTAGCAAAAACACCAGAGGCCATGCATGGTGTTTCCAAAGAACAATAAACTTATTCTTGCCATTTGGTACAGATTATCTATTTCTTGATTTACAATGAGATTCCTTTGGGAGTATGGAATTGCATGAAGTTTGAGGTGAATTGTGCCTTTGAAAAGCAACATTTGTAAATATTTTTTTCAAACTGATGGCAAATTTAGGACGCCTGTTAGCGTAAAATTTTGACATGCAACATGACCCTGAAACAATGACATACAGCCAAACCTGTATTAAGTGGTCACCCTCCATGAAGTGGTAAGTTTTCAAAGTCCTGAAAATTACTTCCCTTAATGTACTGTTATTTTGACTGCTATTACAGAGGATTCAGGTTGAGCGTTTAATGATGTCAGTTATTGCGTTTCGTTATCACGGTTGATTGGTTGCGTTGAAAAGGCGTGTTGTCTTAACGGTCTGTATGTCATGGCGATTGAAATCAAGATAGAATACTCCTACTATTCTACAAAAAGAATAACTCCAGTATATACTGTCGAAAAAGAGCTTATGAGCCTGGAATACAGCAAGTTCATAGAATGCATTGTGAACGAGGTGCCCCACCTTGGAGGGATGAATTTATTGCGAATTACAGTAAAGGAAGATAAAACTGTCGACGAGGTGGATTTGTCCAGAAAGTATTTTAGCTTGCAGATGAAAGGTTTCTTAGACAACGGAGCTAAGAGTATCAGAATAAGAGTCGGCCGTAGATACTGATATTCACAGAGTAAAAAACATGGCTGAGACGGGAGCAGAGGATAGCGAGCTAACACAGACGCATGCTCGATGCTCACTAAATTTACAAATCGACTGGGAAATATCATTGTTAGTGGGTCACCTACTCATTCAATGATTTTATCGATGATGATATGTCTTAGGTCAGAGGATAAAGGTTTTCCCGGGATATAAGAGCGACCGCTCTTGCTTACGGTCAACATGTTTACATTCTGTAATGCGCCTTTTGTCCAACAGAACGCTATTATGTCCTGACTAGCAACGTCTGACAACTTGCCTCGCAATGCAACCAATCAACCATGATAACAAACGCGATAACTGACGTCATTAAACGCTCAACCTGAATCCGTTGTAAGCAGTTGCAAGAACCATTTGCAAAGTCCCAACGGGACTTTTTGTATTGTGTAGTTCCAGAAAATATCCAGACCCCCACCACGGAGGGAATTGGAAATTCCAGGGGGGTGGGGGGGTCAGAGGCCCAGGAATTTCCCGAAGGGAGGGGGGTTGGACCATAAAATCACTTTCCAGGGGGGCAATATCATTTCGTTTTCGACCCGAGTTGGAACATTGCTTCTTACCGACCTGGTAGATCATTCTTAGGACATAAATAACTTGAAATATATGACTTAAGATTGTTCCTTTTGATCTTAACCAGGTTTCCTTTCTTCCAAAGGCGTTTTGGATGTAATTTCAAAGGAATTAGACCGACTACAACTCGTTTTATCGCATGCTTGTATATTCGGCCGCCATTACTCGTTACCAGTCTTCCTCAAAACATCAACGCGTGCAACACATCATGCAACACATCACGTTGCGTCAGTCGATTGATAGATCAGAAGAGTGGCAATTTTGCTTCACAAAGCACAAGCTATGCATTGTAACCATTTTAGAATGTTGAGTTTTTATTCTCCTTTTCATTTTCCCTTAATTTTGTGGTTGAACGTGTCGCATGTTCATGATCGAATTCTCGCTGAAATGGTCTCGATTTCACCAAACATTTATACGGCCATCGCGCATCACGTCGCATCAGTCGATCGAAAAACAGTAAATTGAACTTGGTTTCCCTTCAAGTACCTTCAAGATGCAGGGGGTATTCATTGTTATCATTTCAGAATTCAGAGTTTTTATTCTCCTCTTTGTTTTGCATTAATTTTGTGGTCGTAAGTTTGACTTGTTCTGCATTCCCGCACGAAATGGCGTTACTTCTATCAACATTACGCCCTCGAGACGAATAACAAATCGTAAGCTTGCCCTGATTAAGGTAAATTCACAAATATAACCGACTTATTAACTTTCTCTGTTTCATTTAAAGTAAGAGATAAGCAAAAATGACAGATCAGGTTGCTTTGTGGCGGTGTAGTGGGTTTTAATGTTGCAAGATCACTCAAATAAATGGAAACAGAAACATACAAGCTTCTGATGGAAACCGTTGGGTACTAACCATAAGTTGCCTCATTCTTCTACTTTAATAGTCTTTCTTCGTGAAAATGAACTTTTCCAGAGGGGTTGGGGGGTCTTTGTCACACTTGTGGAAATTCCAAATGGGTGGGGGGTCATCAGTTCCCTGCAAAAATGGAAAATCCAGGGAGGTGGGGGGGTCCTAAGTGAGATTCCCTCCGTGGTGGGGGTCTGGATATTTTCTGGAACTACACATTCTCTCGACCTGTATTAAATGGTCACATGGTGTCAATCACTTGTTCATACAGTTTCTAATAATGTAACACACAAGGTGCAACAATTGATTTCCTCCCCCCTCCCCCCACCCACATGAGGTGACTAACAATGCCTCATTTCGAAGTAAAAGTTCTGATGAATTCTATTGATCTGTTTGTGGCAAAGGCAGCTATTACCATAACTATAAAAGGGCTATTAACGTAAATATAAAAGAAAAGTACTATTGCCACCAGTTTGGATTAAGAAGGATTAAATAAGGGAGTGTGAGGAGTGTGAATATGCACGCACAAATTTTGTGTTCAAATTCACACTCCTTAGCACTCGTTAAGCAAACGTTTGTTCAGATTACTCTGTGTTGAGCTGCGCATGAATGTTCACCAGACAAGCAGCTTAATTAAATCTGTTTCGGAACATAAGATTCAGAGTCACCAACACCCCCAAAAGTAAAAGGGCTTCAATGTTTCGCATCACTGCCTTCACTCTGATAATACCCCACCGGCCGCCGGCCGGCGCCATAAAATTGCGTAAAAACGCGATCAGCGGTCCTTAAATTAGGTGACACAATAAGGAATACAACGAACAAACGTTCAGAGGTACAGAGGAATCTACCCTGGAAAAACTAACAAAAACGCGTAGTGAATACAAAGTCATAAATGAATTTACGCTGAGGTCCCAAAGACGGACGCATAAGTTTTAGCTCAACAACTTTGAGTTGGTAGGTTCTAATTTCGTTATCAATTTCGTTATCAATTTCGTTTTAACACTTACCGCCATCTTATAGTGATATCGTGACACCGCAGCAGATTAAAGGCTCATCTTTACCGGTGAAATTTACCAAACAAAACACTCCGCACCTCACCAGAGTATGTTTATCCGCCATTTTGCCTGGTTTAGATTGGTGGTGCAACTTCTTTTGTGATTGGCCAAAAAAGAAAGCCAATCAGCTGCAAGGAGAAGATGAAGAGAATGTGAAGAGCTGGTGACGAGCAAGTGACCAATCACAAACTGGAACAAGAAAGCCACAATTTTCAAACTCGATCTTCTTCGCCTTCGAAATGTTTGGTGAGTGGTGAGGAGCAGTAGGATTTCTTGCTTTTTGTTCACATCTATCCGTCAGTTGTTTCTTATTTATTTGTGAAGGCTGTCTGGGAACCTTAGTCTGCTTTCATTCTTACCCGTTCAAAAGACGAACGAAATAATTCCAGTGAGCGGCGGTAAGTTTGCTCTAGTAGCTGGAACTGTTACTCTTCCCTTCGATTTAGATCGAACTGTTTGCCCTACATTGGATTTATTTCTGCGGTCTTTCCTGCTTCATTAGTATTTGGAAATGGCATCCCCAACCACTGACAATATAAGAGTCGCGATCAGAGTTCGTCCGTTGATTAAAAGGTGAGTGCATAGTCTTTTTGAACGGTTTAACTTTCACTCGTGGCCAACATTAATTTGTAAATCGGAGCATGATTCACTGTTTTATCGACAAGGTCTGTCGTTTTACGAAAGAACGATTGAAGTACATTCTGCCATGTGTATAAATATTGTAAGCTTAACAAAAAATAAGCTTAACTATGATACGATTTTGTTTTTATCATAAAAATACATCCTAGATATATATTTTAAAATTTGACAACAGACAGGCCTGCTGGAACCGGGGTAACTCAGCCTAACTGCTATAATATTAGTTTGAATACATATCTCAGCTTTTGAGTACATATAACATATGCACCGTACCGTGAAACTGACCAACAGTGCATGTTGTAATGTTTTGATCAGCTGAACTCCCAGTAAAGTGAAAATAACTTGACTTTGCACTCTAGCTGGTTAAAACATGCGTATTTTATACATTGTAAGGCCAGTCAGCTTTCTTGAGTAGGATGGATATGTTACAGGTCAAATTATATTTAGGTTGATTTTTTCAATAACCAAGGTTGATTTTCAAATTCCTTTATCTCCTAACCCTAATTTAATTCATGAATAGGAGACAAAGGAATTCGAGAATCAACCAACAATGTTAAAAATTTTAACCTGAATTTAATTTTGACCTGTTACCAACAGGTGCATGGAAGGTGATAAAAAAGAGGAGAGGAGAGAAAAGACCTGGCAAATGCTGCTACTCAATTCTCCCCTCTTCCCTTTTCCCTTCCCATGCTCTAAAAAGGTGACCATTAATGAGTCTGACACAGTTTTTAGCTTTGTCAGTCCTCATCGACAATGAGATACACTGTTGTTATAATCTTTGTACTAACAATTTTTTTTTTCCAGGGAAAATGACTATCAGTCACAAACTCACTGGAAAGTTGACAGGAACATAATAACTCAGATTAGTAATGGAAAGGCATTGTCAAATTCGCCTTACGTGTTTGGTAAACTTCTTTTTTTTTTTTTTTGCTTTTCAAAACTGTCATGTTAACCTAAGTTAGCTTGTGAATACAGCTGTCTCTCATTACTCCTTGGTGTGTGGACATTTTGCAAGAGAGACAGTGCGGTTTTCCCTCTTGTTGTCACCCTTTACATGTATTCATGCAAGTAAACTTCACAACAGCCATCCTTGAATTCTCTTTCTGTACAGTCAAACAGTCTCATAAAGATATCAGTATTTACTATAATCCCTTGAGCCATCCAGTAATCATTTCTGCGTGACTTTGTTGCTCCACAAAAACTGGAGAGCATTAGCAAAAAGGGAACAGAAGATTTAGAAACAGTATTTCCTTTTCTCCCCTCTGACTAAGATGTTCTACCTGCCCAGGAGAAATAGTTTAGCCCAAGGGGCCATAAGGTTTCTCAATTTTTAAGCAAGCGCAGAAGGCAAAATGTCTAGGTTAGGACAAACAGGTTTAACTGACTCTTCACCTTCTGTGCCTTAACACAGGTTCCGTACTGACATAGCTTACACAATTTTGTTGTACTACCACTCGTCAAGGAAAACTTTAATATCATTTCAAATTTCACCCCATTATTATTGTAGACAGAATATTTGATATTTCAAATTCCACCCAAGATGTTTATGATGAGTTTGGTCGACCTATTGTCCTTTCAGCCATGGATGGCTTTAATGGTGAGTACCTTAGATTACCTTAATACTACATAATATTATCGCGTTTGTGTGTCATTGAGAAGAACAGAGCAGTTTGTTTCTAACACCTCTTGTTTCTTCTATCCATCCATGCACCCCTCCCCCTCTCCAATGATTGTTTTGTGGGTTGCTTATTGTCTCTTGTATTGTACCATCATTTTAAGATGCTGGATAAGACTGGATTGGGTGCCCCCCTCCCTTTACTTGGGTTGGAGGGGGTAACAAGGACTGATTTAATCCAGTCTGATCCAGGTTTTGTTGCCAATCCATGTTTGGCAACTTTTAATATAAACCACTATATAATATTGTTCCTTTCCTCGATAAATTCTAGGAACTTTATTTGCCTATGGGCAAACATCCTCTGGCAAGACATACACCATGATGGGAGACCAGCAAAATGAGGGGGTTATTCCAAAAGCAGTTGGTGAGATATATGACTACATTGAAAAGGTAAATTATCGAAAAAAATGTTGTGATGTATGTGATGTGAAGTCACCATGTAGTCTGTTGGCCCCTTTTGGAGAGCCAGGGGTTCTCTAAGGTCTTTTACCAATACTTAACCCTTTAAGCCCTAAGAGGGCTCATCAGCATCAAATATCAATGCTTTGTAAAACAGAGGTGATCAGCATCAAATTTCTCCTTGTACTATCAATGCTTTGTAAAACAGACCAGTTGTTCATGAGAATTATGGACATGATCACACAAGATGAATTTGCTTGAAATTTTATCAATTTCTCCCCACTACCAATGTAGGAAATGAATAGGGGCAACAAATGAGAATTCAAATTTTTGATCTTAGGGTTTAAAGGGTTAAAGCCAGGAAACTTTTGTGTCACCCTTTCCTTTTCCTTAGACAAAAATAATACCATTCAACATAAGCAAAACAACTGTCATATTTGAGTGTGGTTTTTACATAATATACTTACAGTGTACTGCAATGTTACCAAAATCAGGGCTGTGCTCTAGCAATACCTGGTCAGGAGGCACCTGGTGTCTTAGTTTTATTCTTGGACGACTAGGAAATCTCAGTTTTTGCATAGAAATTATATGCTGGGCACCCTGGATTTCTCAGTTTCAGAGCATTGGGTAGGCTCAGTCTCCAGCCTTGGGTCTCTAGATACTCCTGTGGTACTCGGGTGGGGAGTATATCGCTGGCGCATCGCAACACCCTCTCACCCAACACTGGAGACTGAGCCTAAGTATTGGTCTCATACGGTCAGGGACTTTTTCTTATTGTTATGTTTTCTTCTCAGCATCCCTCCAGAGAATTTTTGATCAGGGTTTCCTACATGGAGATCTATAATGAGGTATCTGACAATGTTGTAATGATATACAGCTGTACTAAATAATGACACGGGCAGAGGTAGCCTCTTTAATGTTACCATTTTAATTCGATTACTGAGACAACGTCTGAACCTAACGGTCTAATGCCTACTGAAATTTTTTTGAAACATCCCTAAAACCACTGTTAATGGTCGGTTCTTTTAAAGAGACTGACGATCAGAGCAAGAATACTTTATGTAGTAACTATAACAATACAGTAGGCTAAAGTAAGGCAAAATAACAACTCTGCACGCCCAGCAAGCTTTTTTGTACATGTAGTGAACTAAGGAAGACGTTTGCCGGAAAACTCAGGCTTTAATCACCAAATCTCATTCCATGCAACATGGCGGTAAAACTACAACCAGGAGGATTGCGGGCTCTTATATAAGGACAAATCTCACTTCATATACACTACACGAATTATCACAAAACTCGCAGTTCGAATGTTCCTAGTTCATAGCTCAGTTCGCAATGTCATTTACCACAGTACATAACTTTGCTGTCACTGCATGACTACGACGTGAAAAGCCATGACAAAATTTTTGTTTCTCTTTCTGAGCTTAAATTACCCTGCGAGCAGAGTCTCCTTCGATCTTCCTTTTCGCCGACGTCGCTGTCGTGGTATCTTAAACTCCCGATTTAGTAAAACCAAAAGGCACTTTTCATACGCGTTAATGCATGTTGGTTGCAGGTTTGAGGAAAATCTACCGTAAAATTCTGAAAATAAGCCCCCCCATGTGTAAGCCCTTCCAAATATAAGCCCCCCAAAATCGTAACACAAAAAACCCTTCCGGGGGGGTTGTACTTGGAATTTGCCCTCAAATACAAAGTAAAACAAAGCAAAAATGGTAAATTTCCTTCCCACTACAAACACTCCTGTTTCAACTTTAAAACGCAAATTTCCCCCCATAGGTAAGCCCCTTCGAATATAAGCCCCTCCAAAAGTAAGCCCCTCAAAAAGGGCCTTTGAAAAATATAAGCCCCGGGGCTCATTTTCGGAATTTTACGGTATTTCAAGTGTTCAAGGTTTCCAAACGTCGCGTAGCTGAGTGAATAGTGGTACATGCAGAACCGGCACTGGAAAGGATTGTTTTTTTCTTTTTTTAAACATATTCACGTGATCTTTGCTTTTGTTTTCTTTAGGACATAAAAGATCTGCTAAATCCTGGCAAAACCAATCTTAAGATCCATGAAAATCCACAGGTATAATAAATAGAGTCAGGGTTAAAGAAAATGCACCGTAGTCTTCAACTATAATTTTCAATTTTTACACCTTTTGCTATTCATGTAGGTGTTCTCTGTTTAGTTTATTGGAACATCAATACCCAATAGATACGCCCCTATCACCTGGGAAAAAAGTTGCTTGATAACGGTGATTTTTCTCTTTAATTGTTGTCGTTGTTGTTACATGTTGTCGCTTTTAAGGTGGCTTGATAGGGTTTTTCAAGGTCAATGCCTCCCAAGTTTGAGAATAAACTACCTCGTCACTAACAAAGATTTTTTAAAATTTTGAATCAAGGTGTTCATGTTGATTACGCAAACTTGTGTTCATTATTCCACCTTTCAGAGGCAAGTATACGTTGGTGATTTGACAGAGGAGGTTGTTTCGTGTCCTGAAGACGTTTTCAAACATATGTTCCGTGGAGAAAGTAAGTTAAACACAGTCAAACCTGTTGTTACGAAAAGTACAATAAATGTCATGTAGATGAAGTATATCTTAATAATGTGATCAACCATGATAGCTAAAGAAGTGAAAATCGTATCAAAATGACTGCATTAAGGTGTTTAAAAAGGGGGTCAAAGAGTGCTCATTTATTGGATAAATCTTAGTCCTTGAAAATCATAAGTTGTCTTGAACAGTCCTTGAAAAGTCCGTGAATTTTGCTTGTCTAAAGTTGTACCAACCATGTGGATACAATGTATTTGGCGCATTTGAATATATTTATATAGATATTTGCGCCTTATAAGTTTTTGAAATTAATAATAATTAATTAATGTAAGTGGCCGCTTACGAGAGGTTGTCCCACTTTTAGGTTCTTTTCTGACAGAAAATAAATACATGTATGTCTGACCAGCTCACCAGTTAAATCGGCGACTAAAACAAAAAAAGTCGCCGGACATAGATTAAATTGACTTTTTTAATGATAGTCTTTTGTGTTTGATTTGTCTGCTCCTCACTTGTGACCCTAGGCAGGCCTGATTTCATCGGAAATGTATTATATAAGTTCTTTGTAATTATGTATTTTTAGAAAATCGGCACTTCGGTGAGACGAATATGAATGATCGCAGTAGTCGAAGCCACACCATTTTCAGAGTGGTAGGTGTCTTACTTTAGTGTTGAACAATAGTCTAACACGGATTTACTTTGTAACTTCTTCAAGCATTTTGCTAACGGATGCATGGTTTTAAGTTACTCCGAAACAGAGTCGAGTAATTTCCTTTCTCTTTCTTCTGAATCACCTTGTCTGGATTTTTTGCGCGTAAAGTAGATTAGACTAAGTTCACACGCGAAAAGTCAGTTTTGTCAAATAAGTTGGCAAGTCCTCCTTCGTTCATTCGCTCTTTTTCAAACTTTCTTGACGATCTCGCGTTGAAACGCTTCTTGTTACACGCAGGGCTACTTCTTCCGACTCACTTACCGCCTAGATAACTTTTGTGCGTTTTCTTACACCTTGCACTAAATCGTTTTCATGCAGCCCGACAATTTTGGCCTCATCTATGTTTCTATTTTTTTTTTAACTTACAAGATTATTGAAAGCCGCGAAATGAAGGATGAAAGCAAAGACCCCGATACCATAGATGGAGCCGTTCGAGTGGCACAACTGGTAAACCGTTCGTCTTTCAAGGAAACGTTGGGTTTTCTTATCATTTTTGTCATTCTTGTCTATCTGTTGAAAAGGCTCTTATTCCGTCAGATTTTTACGCTTGGCTATCATATTAATTTCATCATGCATTATGTTTAGAACTTAGTTGACCTTGCCGGATCAGAGCGGGCATCACAGACTGGAGCTTTTGGTTAGTCATTTAACCTTTACATTAGTATATAACTACACCCTTACTACTAGTCTTCTTCAGGCGATTTGGTCAAATGTTTCACGATACCAATTTGCATCACTTTGGTTTGCGTTGATTTATTATGCCAATCATTACTGCTCCTTAGTACCACGAGACGTAGAACGTCTCCCACTAGACGAAGAACATGTAGAGTACTGTGTTTCCTCGGAGATCCGATGAAACTCCATTCTTCTGTTTGTACTCCTTTGGCTTTGTCAACCGCGTTTTTAGGGTCTTTCATCTCCCCACCCCAGAGGGACGCGGGACGCTCCAGGAGGTGGATGTGGAGAAGGAAGTCTGTAGATGTTTTGCGCGTCTCTCAGGTTTCATGCAGACCATACGATATGATAATAAAATGTTTCTTCGTTTTCCACAAACTGTTGCACTTGCTTAGGTTTTGTGTTGTTTGTACCTGTTGTGTTATGGGTACTAGTAGGCTGATTTAGCAACAGAACGGGAACGTCAGTTGACGACGGCGCGCGCAAATTAAACAACTGGCTTGACCAATGGCACAACGGCAAATTGGGTACCGGAAGCCGTGTTTAGTCCTTTCCGCGCGTTTTGCCGTCATCAACTGACGTTCCCGTCCTGTTGCTAAATTAGCCTACTGTCAAGACTCATTTCAATCTCTTGTATGAATTACGTGGCCTCATTTGGTAATCGCAGTATTTGAGTGACATACCAATAAACTAACAACATTATCATTGTGTGGTACACCTTTTCTTGGATGCACGACGTGCTTCTGTTGTCATGTGAGACGTAAAAACGGTGTCCTTAGTAGTTCTTTATTTTTTGTTCCTTGCAGGCCAACGTTTAAAAGAAGGTGGACACATCAACAAGAGTTTACTGGCCCTTGGTTCAGTGATCGCTAAACTCAGTGAGGGAGAAAGGTATGGAAAAAAAACCTCACTTTTTACCTGGGAATTGCGGTCTTTCCGCCCGAAAGTCGTTTCGCACGACGCCGGACGGCGTTCGCCAGGACATTAGTCGATTCGCCTAATGACATACAGCACTCTACAACATTGTGAAAATACTTTCGAGATGTTATTTTAGTTACCATCGGATTCCACATGTGCAGTCACTGTCGTTCCACGCTTATTCCCTTTTTCCAGGCTTAACGAGCGACAAATACGCTTCGTGTAAATCGATTTAGTCTCAGTGCGAGCTCCTATCGGGCGAAACGACCTGATACCTTACCAGGAAGAAATATTCTCAGTAACAGGAAAAAAGGCATGCCATTTGCCTTGACTTTGCCCAGAGCAATCCATACAGCTAGATGTGTAAGTCTTGATATAACAGAGCCTTTTTTACAAACTTGCTTTGAAGGCATAGGTTAAAGAACACTAGCCTGCGTAGCATGGCGGTTTTGGTTGGGCGCGCTAAATATTAAAGGCGGACGAGGGCAGTTGGTGGCCGGGCGAGGGCCGCTCAGCGGTGCTCCCGGCGAAACCGCCATGCTACGCAGGCTAAAAGAATACCGACATGACATGATGATAATTCTTGCTTTTGCTTTAAATACTCCTGTCCAAGTGGGTCTCCTAGAACGTCTGCATCGGTCCACAGGCTACATGTTTTTTTTTTTACGTGGGCGTTAGGTTTGCATTGCTGCTTTACTGACGCCGATTACATTTGCATTTTGCCTTTTTAGCTTCATACCATTCCGTGACTCCAAACTAACTCGGATTTTACAGTCTTCGCTCGGTGGAAATGCTAAGACGTCTATGATTTGTACAATTACCCCCGCAGCCGTTGAAGAAACCATAAGCACTCTAAAGGTAAACCTGTGATACAGGGTAAACCTTTGATACAGCTATTTCAAGAAACGTTGTCAGAAAAAATGTGCACGCGACAATCCCGAAAGGTAACATGGGATATGTTCAATACACTGCTCTTGACACTGTTGCTGTCGAACCTACTTTTGTTGCTTTCCTTTAGCACTGGCAGACATATGTCCATGGCCTCTCTTGCCATTCTTTCAAATTTCTTTGAAAAACAGTGAACTCAAAACCACCCACAATACCTTTCGGGGTTGTCACGTGTACTTTATCCGACAACCTTTCTCGGAATAGCTGTATTAATGTCGTGCATGGTTCAATTTCCTCTGCTGATACCTTTTATTTTTTGATGTTTGATTTTATAAATTAACAAGTCCGCCCTCTTCCAAGCAGACTGCTGCGTTTCTAACATGAGTACACGTACTTTTTTCTATCGTTACAGTTTGCAAGTCGTGCCAAAACTATCAAGAACTGTCCGGAAGTTAACGAAGTAAGCTTCCGTTTTGCTTTATTTCCTATGAACAGCTAGCAGAGCTGTAGGTATTGGAGTAATGTCGATCATGTCCTCTGTTTGCACGTTTTCAGGACGAACCAAAGGCTTGTTGTATACTGAGGCCATTTCTGAGTTCCAAAATCTCTTACTTTCGTTGAAAACAAGACTAAGGCCCCGTCCACACGTATCGGGATATTTTTGAATCCGCAAATTTTTCTTTTCGGATTTAAAACTGTAATTCACCATTTCCACATTTCCCATAATACACTTTGTTTGCGTTTTTCTTGCTTCCCAACACTCGCAAACAGTTTTGCATAGAAGATGAAGACAATGCTTATTCAAAACTGTTTTCGCGGTTGGGGGACAAGAAACACGCAAGAAAGTGTATTATGGGAAATGTGGAAATGGCGAATTTCTGATGATTGAGAGATATGGTTGCCCCCCTCCCCCTGCCTCGTACCCAGGCACGTTCTAGCGGATTCGAGAGCAACTGGGATTTTGGTTCCGCGCTAGGTATAATTTTTCTAGTTCACCCTTCCCAGCGTCCTTTGTGTCCACGCTAAACGTCCCCATGGTCCATTGCGCGAAACTCCTTTATGGCTCGTGCAGTCACGTTTTCCGTTGTCCACACTTGAGACGCCTAGGAACGAGGCAGCCCCACCCCTGGGCAGAGGTTTTCTGACAAATTCCCCACCACAGAGACCGAGATGACAAATGCCCGCGAAGGGGGTTTACACGATTGGAATTGTCTGACCCGTAACTTTTTAACCCCTGGCTCACTTGTCCAATGGACAAGGGTCTACATAAGTCATCTAGTAACTAAATCATTAGCTCAGACAATCAAGCAATGGCCCTGGCTAAGCAATTTAATGTAAGAGCTGCTTGCCCAAAATTCAAGCTTTTTGCAAGCCTTTTTACGTCTCCGATTTTTTATTTTCATTTGTAACGTTCATGTATGTGAGAATGATTTTGCCCGTGAATATTGCGTTTGTTCCGATGAGCTGCGCTTGGTTTTCCAAGGATGGCTCTGTATAAGTAATAATTTATGTTGCTGATGAAAATGCATCTTGCTCTTTAGGTACTTGATGATGGAACTCTCCTGAAACGTTACCGCAAAGAGATATGCGAGTTAAAAAAGCAACTGACCGAGGCAAGTAACTTTTGCTTTTTTTCTTAGGATTCAGCCGTTCTCGGGCTACACAACTTGTAACAAACTTAACTGAATGCATCCATCTTGATATGTACTTTTTCTTCATCAGATGAGTCAGCAGTCAGCGATTTCACAAATGCAGGAGCTTCAAATCGAGAAAGAGAAGGTAGATGGCGTAAATTGGTTTAAAAAAATCCTTGGATTTTTCTTTTTATGTCGCTTAAACATCAGCCCGGACGTTATTAGACATAATTTATATACGAACTTTGCGTCTCCTGCGAGACTATACTTTTTTTAATTTCCCATACTAATAAGTATTTTGTTATTGGTGACTTTTTAAGTGCTTCTAATCACCTATCCATCTAATACCCGTGCTCAGCAAAATCTAGATCTGAAGATTTACTTTCAAACTTCATTGTTTTAGAGTCTGAAAACAATAGCTACAATTGCATATCACACTTGTAGAAGTTTTATTAAATCGACCCTTTGTGTAACCTGCGAGAGCATCCGGTTTTTTGGGCTCAAGTTTTTTTGAAACCAGAAACTTGAGCCGAAAAAAAACGGATGCTCTCGCAAGCTACCCCTTGTGTCGACAAAGAGGAATTCAATCTTCTTGATTGATGAGGCAACCTCTAAGATTTGTACAGTGAGGCTTGATTTTTCTAATTGTTGTTGTTTATAATGTATTTAGATGGTAGAAATGTTAGAACAACAACGCATTCAACAGGTATGAAAAATATTATGATAATTAACCATAGAGGTTACTGTCAGATTTTCAAATACTGGGCCTTTGCGCGATACTTCAGCCTAGACTGCTAGCAGTCGTTCTGGACTGTAGCGCGGGTGAGCATATGAGGCACAAGCGTAAAAAGTTAAGCTTCGGTGAAACGGGAAACAAAAACATGCAACTTGTTTTGCAACATTGCTGCAAAACGGGATGAAAAGGGATGTTGCGCGTTTTACCACCTACGTTTAAACCCGTCAACAACCTGATTTGGTTCAAGACCAGACTCGTACCCAGTCGCTATTTAAGTGTTTAATGGGGTGAGAGAAGATTGGGGATTAGGTTAGGGCGCGCACGGGTAACACCGCGGCAAAACGTCTACGCATGCGCCAGGTTGAGCATTTCCGGCCTCTTTTTCAGTCAAATTTCAGTCACACTTTCCAGTCAGATCAAAGCCTACCGCGCGCTTTCGGCTTCATTCTGTGTGCAGCGTGTGGTTCAGTTGTTCTGCTTCATGCTGCTCGTGTTTTTGACTATTTTGTGGTTATTGAAATTGCTTTTATGGATAACTAGGCACAGATCACTGAAACAATTAGTCGATTAGATTCAGAAAAGGTAAGATGATAATAACTTAGTGTGTAATTTTGGCTAGAGCGTCAGGTAAACTGATTTTCATTCACGAAAACAAAGTTTTTGACTGTTATTTTTCACTTAACCTGGCTGAAACTAAGACATAAAAAGTTATCATTGCAAGTTGGTGTATTGTAGTTCTAATTTTCAGTTCTTCAATTTCTCAGCCATCATGTCTTAAAGCCGATTTGAGCTTTATTTGGAAAACGACAACACATAATCGCTTTGTAGTTTTATTTACCAGTGAGCTTTAAACGTGTTTTGAAACGAAACTCTTCTGAGTTGATTGCCATGAAACATAAGCTTAACTATATTGTTGAGGTTGGCAGCAAGTTGACAACTCTATTAATTTTTTTCATTCTCAGAATCAGAGAGCAAAAGCTGGTTCGATGGCTTTTAGAAGTCGAAATTTTCATGCCATGTATTTAGCAGGTGAAAGTTTCGTGTTTGCATGAGATGCAGCCGAGCCGCACAGTCTGAAATTATTGAAGTCTTCAACCAAAGAACAACCATGTAAAAGAATTAAATAGGCATTTTCTTGAGTGAAAGTCATTTATAGGCATGTTTAGTTTCCCGGCACTGAAAACTCCGGGTGTTCGTGACTGCAGTCATCAAAGTCGAAGTTGTTATTAAATCCCGCCCATCTCTTGTTTTGAGTTCTTGTTTTCTCCGATAATAAAAAAAATTATTTAACGGACTAACATTTTATTTCCTGGTTTTAGTGTTAATGATAATGATGACTCCTTTTTGGTTTCTTTCATAAGTATTGTGATTCTTTTCTTAGTTGTCGCCTTCTCCCAAATTAACTTATGCCAGATCAGTAGCATGCAAGAAAGCCAGTAAAAACGAATTCGTCATGTCGAGCGCTCGCGACCTGCAAACTTCAAATATCATTTTCACCGTTGGTGCAAACAGATAACCATGTGGTGCAAAAGTTTGACGCTAGAAAAATATATAAGCTTTCGAATGAAGTGAGTTTTTTCGCCCCCTTTTTTGTCTGTTTCTCCCTTTTTGCTTTTAAACTTGGTGCGTCGGCAATGTTATGCCTACGCGATTGGTTTATATACTAGACCGGAAACAAAAAGCTGACCGGATGTCAAATTTTATGCTCATGCGCATTGCGTTTTGCCGCGGTGTTCGCACGGATAAGCGCGCGGGTCTCATGGGAAGCGACGAAGGAAAATAGCGCGCCTGAACCTAATCCCCAATCTTCTCTCACCCCAAAAAACACTTAAATAGCGACTGGGTACGAGTCTGGTGCAAGACAGGTTTTATGCCGGTGGTAAAACGCGCAACATCGCTTTGCAACTCTTTTTGCAGCAATGTAGACTACGAGCAGTCTCTTTTTTCTTGGTCCGTCGAGCTAAACGCCCGAGACACGCAAATCACCACGCGCAGGACTGAAGGTGCGAGAAGGCTGCCGCCCTCGTTTCTCGCGTCTCGCGGCTTCGCCGCAACACGCTCGCACGCGCGTGCACTTCCCTTACTAAATCTGAAGAAAAAGAGAGACTGCTCGCAGTCTAGGAGCAATGTTGCAAAACAAGTTACATGTTGTTTGTTGCCTGTTTTTCCGTACCTTTGAAGTGCGAGTGAAATCAGATTTAAAAACTGTGAGTAAGTTCACTAAGTAATATCGATTTTGAGGTCGTTTGCCCCTTGGCATTTCGAATTTTGTTTTTTTCTTATCCTTCCACAGAGCGAACAAGAAGAGAAGATAAAAAGGCTCCGTAACATGATTTGCTCCGCTGGCAAAGAAAATGAACCTAAAGCAAACAGAGCAAGGTTGGCAAAGGTCGGTACCATATAGTTTGCTTCTTTTCTTCTTTCACCGAGTAAAGGGGTCTTGTTTAAGAGATTTCGGTCAGGCAGTTTAGTTAAGTTTTTGAATAGACACGTTTAGGTCAATTTGTATCACGTGACCAAGTCTCCCATTTACTTGTCCTTTACTGTTCATTATTTCTACACATAAATTAGTAGTTCACGCATTTTGTTTTATCCAAAAGAATTGTTTTTTTTTCTGCTCATTTTCTATTTTGAGAAATTCTCAAAAACATAGGGCCATTAAAAATAAAGAGCAGAATATTAATAGCCTGTAAAAGAACCTCAAGAAATGTGAAATGCTAGAGTAGAGCTGTGACACTTCAGTAGAGGTCACTCGCTCAGGAAAAAAGTGTAGCATAGCCAACGATTTTGTTCGTTCGTTCGTTCGTTTTTCTTTTTGCGTTCCAGTGATTGAAACCCATAACAATGGGAGAGGAAGGATTTATGGGAAAAAATAACTGTCTCGTTTTAATTTCTTTTCCTCATCCATTTTTTTCAGAGGCGTGAGACCTGGTGCCCAGGTGCGGCTCTGTCCAAGGCCCCTCTCGCCTCGGCCGCTTCCTTGGCCGTCCAGTCGCGTTTACAGCGAATTGGCTCCAGCCCCAGTAGTGATGGAAGTGAATTTGATGAGATGCCAAGAGAAACGTTCTTTTCGAGGCTGGACGAGGAAGAGCAGCGAAAGTCTAATGAATTTGGCCAAAGAAGAGTTGGCTTTGTCAGCCCGAAGATGAAAAGGTTGGTACTGGGCATTATAGCTGCTGAAGGCCTCCCCTCCCCTTTCCTATCTTTCGGGGGTCCACTTAGGAAATCGAAGATAGCAGGGATTTCTGAGATGATTGACGGCAGCGAAAACGCAAACGTTATTTGGCTTTTGAACTTAAGAGTTCGCGTGTTTTTGACAAGCGCAGTAGAACATTAGATAAAGGCTGAAAGTTTTGCTTCTTAGAAATCGAAAAGTATTAAACAGCACTTAATGAAAATAATAATTAAAACAAATACTTTTAACAATGTGGTTACGGATACACATTCTAATTTGTTTTCTTTATTTCACTCTATGTTTGCAGGGAAACAAATGAAAATGTAGATAAAAAAAGTTTTGCACCAAAATTTTATTCGCTAATAAAATCTACAAAAGAAAAATTTTTGTGCCGAAAGCTTATTCTCTTAATAAACTAACTCGAACGTTCATGTTTCCTGCCACTTTAATGACACGTTTGTCGTTAAGGTTTACTTAACTTTCTCCCACTTCTCTCTTCCATTTTGTGGTTGTTGTTTGTTTGTTTGTTTATCTTTACTATGCCGTAGTTTATTCATCCTACCTCGTTCCCAGAGTTCTCTCCTACCAGTCCCACTCTGGAGGACAAGATGGAGAGAACCCTGGGAATGATGTTGGTTATTCTTAATTTCTCTATCTTATACGAAAACAGATTGTCTCCTATTTTGGACATAGAACGAGAAGACAAAGACATGCAGACAGAGGTTAGCTGCAGTAGGAAATGTCGGTTTATAAACCCCACGCGTAATATAGGATTTATGTAACATATCGTACCTCTTTTCTAGTTTTTCTTGTTTATTGCGTAGAGAATAGAAGGTAAACCCCGTGATTGCAATCAGGTTTGAGTTGCTGTCACGAGTTTCCCGCGCTTAGTGCGCTCCGCTCCCGTGTGCTTGCTTTGACTGCTATTGGTTAATTTGTTTTTTATGCTTGTTCCCAATTTCGGTCGATGCGCCAATTGATCACTGCGATTCGGTGGGAAGCTTTGTTTCAACTGAAAAATGTCGTTCCATTTTCTATTGATAATTCCACTGGTATGTAACTGTTTGGCTTGGCAAAGTGGAAAGCACCCTGTAGTTCAGATGTTGAGTGATTACGTCACGTGTTTTGGCTAGTAGTAACAGTTGTTCTCATGGGGTAAATCCGTTTTGTTCTGTAGCCTGATGTAAAGGTCATCGAAATGCAGAACGAAGTTAAGAAACTCCGCAAAAGTCTGGATGAAGCCGTGCAGACGAGGGATTTGTACAACGTAAGTTTGAGTTTCCTGGGTTTTCTTGGTGCAAACTTCTTCCTATAATACTACTTTTTAAAGGGTACGGTGTACTACACGTTTCGTGTTTCTTTGTTTCTAGGAGCTGTTGGAAGAAAGCAATGCTTTGTTGGAGAAAATGTCTACTGAAAATGGTTTTTTTCCTGCCCCCACGGTTCGTCTTCATATTTATTTATTTATTAGTTGCTAGTTTATTTACTTATTGAACCTGGTGAACTAAATTGGAAAGAAAACCTTCTTTTTCCACCTTACATGTCACTAAAAGAGAAAATTCTTTTAGTTTCATAACTTTTTCCCGCTTAAGCGTTTCGTAGCTGTGGGATTTTTGTTGTTTTGTCCGTTTTTATTGTTTTCTCTTTTTCTATTTGTTATTATTATTATTGATTTATTAATTTGTTCATTTTTCTGCACTTGATTACAGTCAAATCTCTTCCTATGATCACAATCCCCCGAGAGCTTGTTCACGCATCCTCTCCCCCTACCCCCCGAGAATTGTAGTGCAATTGAATTTTTGGGACGGTTAGGATGGATGCATCCTCGGAGATCCAGGGGCAGTCAGTCGGGTAGGGATTGACGGCGGCGAAGACCCGACCCGGCCCTACTCACCGCCCCTGGCTCTCCGAGGATGGGATGGATACTGTACGCAGTCCGTAAAGCTCATTCCTATCGGAAGCCCCCATTGCCTTGTTAAGTTCCTCTTCCTCTGCTACTGTTTTTGTTTATATTTTATCCATTCATTCATTTACTATTTTATTTGTAGAACTCTGATATTACTTTAAAGTATGTGGCAGAGATGCGCAACGAAAAAGCTAATTTGGAGGTATTTCCCGTTTGCTTTGTTTCCCTGGAAACAACTGAATTGTTTCGGGTATGGATTTTGTCATTTCCGCTTCTTCTTTGCCCTTTTTAGACCCAGGTTGAGGTACTTAAAACACGGTGTCAAGATCTGGAACTGCTGAAAGTGAGAAATAAAGGTGAGATTACATGGTGTAAACATTCTTGGTTGTAGTTCTTAGGGACGGACCATTAGAAAACTTATGGGGAGGGGGGGGGGGCGGTCGAAGTAAAAAAAAAAAATTCGAGCAAGGGAAAATAAAATGAAAAAAATTCCTGAACGTAATTTAACTCTAAAAAATATTCATAGTTGTCTTTGTTTTTTCTTTTTCGTTTTCTTTTTTGTGGTGTAAGAAGAGAGAATATAAAAAAAACAGTAGGGAATAGAAAGGAAGAAGGAAAGGAAGAAAAAAAGGGTGGGATAAAGTGAGGGGTTATGTTTTTGTTGGGGGGGGGGGGGGAGAGAAAAAAAAAAAAGGGGGGGGGGGGGGGGGGGGGGGCGGTCGAAGTACAAAAAAAATATTCGCGCAAGGGAAAATTAAATGAAAAAAATTCATGCACGTCATTTAACTCTAAAAAATATTCATGCTACGGCCTAAAAAAAATTCATGAAAGGAATTTGATAACGAAAAATATTCCTGCGGCTCAAAAATTCCCCACCCCCCTATAACTTTTCTAATGGTCCGTCCCTTAAGGTAATTTCCTCGTTTGCACCGTGCATCACCTGCGTAGACGTCACAATATCAAAGGTGGTAGCAATTTTCCCAGGTCGTGTGAAGAGAGGTAACAAAGGACCCTTTTGTTGTCCAAATGGTTTTACCGGCGATTTTGATAACGAAAAGGAAGGAAATTGCGAAGCGAAATAAACGTCAACACAAGATAACGGTAGTCAGAAAATTTAACGCGCCCACCATACGGATACTATAGCCTTTTCACAGACCCTCCATTTTGTCTTTACAGTTTAGTGATTACAGATCTTCGGGTGCGAGTCTGAAAATAAAACCTCGGGGGATTTTTTGTTCGTTATGCGCTCGTTTAATTATATTACGAAAAAAGAAAAGCGTCTAAAGAGAGGCCGACCGACCATTATGCCTCTTACATATCATTAAAATGTACTCATATACTCCGCAGAACTTGAGGAACAAGTGCAGTCACTTGAGAACGAGCGCACATTGTCCAATGAGTACCTATCCGAACTACAGGCTGAATACGAAAGTGCACAGGTTGAGAAGCAGGCGCTCATTGCGCGGGTTGAGGGACTGGAGAACGCAGGAACGTTTAACACGGCAGTTACAGTAGAACGTGAGTCCTTACAAATGGCGCTTGAAGAGAGCACGAGAGATAAACAACAGCTCCAAAGTAGCCTGGAAATCTGGCAGGAGAAGTACGCCAGTCTTGAGCAAGAAATGACTCGCCTTCAAAGCGAACTCGCTGGTGCGGCCGATTGCAAAGATGGAGAAGCTTTGCTCAATGCTGCTAAAGCAGAGGTCGAATCCTTGCAAAATTCAATAGGAGAAAGTGAACGGGCCAAACAACAACTGCACGAAAATCTTGATTCCTGGAAAGAGAAGTAATTATAGTATTATTTAAACAATGATGAAATGGTTAAAACACGATGCGCAAACTAATTGTATTATTTAACTGTCTTTTGGCTTGTTTTGTCAAACTGCACCAAATAGGTTATGAGCTTTGGCAAAAAAAAAAAAGTTAATGACAAACATGACAGAGGTAAAAGGGGTACAGTATTGTGTGTGTGACTCTGTAAAAAGCAAAGAAACAAGCCTCGGGGTCCACTGTTCATACCATTCTGTTATCTACCAGACATCTCACCTCACCGCTTTAAAAGTTTTCTATCTGTTTGTCAAAGGATGAGGGGAGGGGGGGGGATGTGGTGGATAAAGCCAGTCCTGTTGAGAGGTTCCCAATTCAAAATTGTATTAAGGGATTTTACCTGAACAGAAAACGGGAAAACTAAAGATAAGAACGAAACAATGAGACAAAGAGTAATAGGGAGGGTTTTAATACTTTTCACTTTTCCAATCCCCTCTTTTCGATTTAGTAACGCCCTGATATTTGGCCATTTTTTCACACCGCAAGATTAGGTTTGATTTTTATAGCCTGCAGTTCATATGCAATTTCGAGTGTTGTTAGTTCTTGGCTCTGCCGTTTCTCCAGTTTTTCTCCCCAGTTTACGAAAACTAACATTTACAAATTCTAATTTGGTCAGAGATGTAGTAGTTGAGCAATCACTGTGTATAGAGGCCTGTTAGGGTAAAATTCGGCAAGCAACATGGCCTTGAAACAGCGACATTTCATAGATGAAATGGCGACAAACGTAATGAAGATGGGTTGAAACGGCGACAGCGACATGGCTATACGACCAGTTTTGAAATTAAAACTAGGGACATACGTAGCCCCCATAGGAGGGCATCTGCGCTACCAATTCGTTACTTTAGCGCTACCAATTCGCCACTTCAGCACTACCAATTGGACACTATAGAAGCAAGAAGGAAACTGGACCGAGTTAATTTTTGCAACAGGCGTTATTTTTTCGCGTTTCTCAGGCGAGCGAAGGTAAGGGCAAGGCGGGCGTGGAGCACCAGACACTTGACTTTATTCACCCCAAAAAGACACTCTTGGGACTTTTACGAGGGACAAGGAAAAAATGGCCAGTAGGTCACTTTCAACAATTACAACATTTGACTACAACTACCAAATTCATTTCGTTTTTGCTTTCTTATTTAAATGTTTCAATCTCGCTAGGTTTAAAATAACATTATAGTCTTAGCCTTAATTTGCACAAGAAAACAACCAGCTAAAGGATTCTGGTAGTTGTAGTAAAATGACGTCATCATGCAATTGT